TTTTTTTTTTTTTTTTTTTTTTTTTTTTTTTTTTTTTTTTTTTTTTTTTTTTTTGTATTCAGTGTTGAATAATACTAATAGATTTGTACTAATACTTGAAAAACCCACTTGCGTATAACAATAAATATATAGTACATCGTCGGTGTAATGGGATATGTCGATACGTTGTGGAAGGGGTCATTTATTATATCTCGTACCCAAACGAAGGCTATCTCGATCTATTCACATAAATAAATAAATAGCATATCGTACGTGTTATGAGGCTATCTTATGTACCATTTAATGGTAAGTTAAAATTTTTTTTTAATATTTGAAATAGTTGCTTAGTTTTTTTTTTGGGTATTTAAAGAATTTATTAAAATCATAAAAAAATGTATTTCAAAGTCGCAAACGAAAAAAGGTAAAAAAAGAAGTATTAAGATTCAAGTATTGCGAAATGCTATTTTTCACCACTCTGGATACCAGAATCTTCTTTATGTTTACTCCTTTATTCCTTGAGGAGTTGTTCACACTTTCTTTGGTGTTAATTTTGAGCATAAATCCTCAGTCTTACGTTACATGAATAATTTCCGCCGTAGGTGCCTACATTAAAGTTTGTTATTCCTTATTGTCTCATCCTCACACTTATGGAAAAATTAAACAAATTACTGTCAAGGTTAAAAACTTTTTTTCAAACGATTAAATATTTACAATTTTTATAAGAAACCTAAAAATTTAATTTGATGGCCAATTATGTTTATCTCGTATTATTTTCTTTCAAACTAAAGCTTTATAAAGTAAAGATTCAGTAGTTTTATTTTTTAAATGTAAAGCTAAATGATGTATGAGTGATTTAGTAGTTAAATTATAAGCTTAGCTGCTTTCAAAAATATAATTTAATCGTATTATACTAAATTTTTCCTAGTATTTAACAAAATAGTAGTTTTAAGCTACGAAAGACTCTTGAAGAAATGCATTTAAGACAGTCTTCTCAACTATAATACACTCATAAATACTCAATATTCATATTCTTTATCATGTACATTTAAGTTGTAAAATTATTGAAATATTTATTGAACATTATTTTTTTATCTAGCTAAATTTATGGTTCAAAAATTTATTACCGATGATTATTAAGGTCAGTATTTAATTCAATTTTCAGTAATTAGTTAATCATAAGCTTAAAAAATAAAAAAGTATTATCTTATATTGCATTTGTTTACTTAGGGTTCATTTATAATTGAACTGCAAAAATAGCATGATACAAATCTTATAACGTAAGTGTAAACATTTTCACATCATTTTTATTTAATTATTTTACTTTCATGAGTATAATAATGTATATGTACAAAAGTCTTGTTATATGTGAGTATGACAAATCGTCTTTAATTTTTATCTTCAAGATATTTTTTGTAGGATTAATGAACCTTTTTCTAAATACACGAACATTTTTATGTTTTTATACCTGAAATTCGACTCTATTATTTATATTATAAATTTCATGAGCATATATGATAAATATCTTTATATGTAGTGAAATTTAAGATTTTGACATATAAATTGATATCCAAACAGGCTATTAAAATGTGTTACTAGAATAACTAGATAATCAAAACATGTATTTACATAGTTTCGGAAATTTCTTGCTTTTTCAGTAAGAGAGACAACCGAAGCGAAATTTTCTTTTTAAAAAATAGGTCTTAAATTTTGTTTTTCTTAAAAATGAAGTCAAGTTAAATTAAGTTCTTACCCTCTGAAAATAATGAGTTAAATTTCTGTTGGTTCTTAAGTATCCAAAAATATAAGTATTTTGAAAAAAAAATCAGCATATATTTTTGTATCATATTGCGCAATTTTATATTGTATAGTGCTTTAAAAACATTGTATTATACATGTTATGAATTGAACGTAAGGTATTTCCATTTTCTCATTAAAATTTTGCATTAGTAAAATGTGTGTTTCTTTTCAAATTTTAATTTTCACAGAAAATATTTAAACTATGTAACTATACCCACTTGTACTTTTTTTTTTTTTTTTTGCATTTTCGTTAAGTTTCTACTTTACATAAGCTAGTGATAGATCATTAAAATTTCCCATTCACTACTTCGTTTGTAGTATTGAATGCTATCTGCTGGACAAGTTGTAATAAAATTTACTCCAGGCAACATATCTATTTAATGGTAATTGTCTTATTGTAAACGTCGAAAATAGCGGCTTTCGATCACTCGCAACCAAAGCTCAAGGAGTTTTACAAAAATGTTCTCAACAACATAATCCCCCCTCCTCCGTCTCCTTTTCCGACACTCGTACAACGAAGTGTCAACGTAGAAACGCCAACTCTCAAAAACTGCACGAACGCGTATATCCAGAGCCCGCCTTGCATACGTCCAGCGGCCACGACCACGGGAGTAGGAGCCAACTGGCTCCCGACGCAGTCGCTGACTTGTCTTGTTGATTGTGCATCGCCACAAGTGAGAGCGCCCATCCGTCCAACCGATTGCGCTCTTTCGGCTCGCCAGGAGCTCTGTAGCACGCGCCGAAATTCATCCATACTAAAGTTTTTTAAATTTTCATTCCGATGGAGGACGCTATTCATTTAAACACATATTTTTAGTTTCTATCGTTTAAACATTTTTTCACTCTAAATTGTCCAAAGTATAGTCATTCGATCGGAAAACCATTTAAAATCATTTTTTATCTGATATAAATAGTTCGTTATTGTTAACATTTAATATTTGATCAACATACTACGAGTGACCGGCGAAGTTCGGCTAAAACGACAAAAATAATCAATAGCAAGGACCAACGGCGCTGCTTCGAAAAAATTGAAAGAAATTTTACTCGTACAAAGGCCTCTTCAGCAAGTGAAAGCAGACTGTGGGGCCCATAAAAATAAGGTTGGTGAAACAGCGTGCGCGTCCCTACGGTTAAGCGTTTTCGATTTAATTTGACGAAAATGAAAAATTAGTTAATGACCATCAAAATTCAGGGTACCACAGTTACCGAGAATAATTGTTTTTGTTGGTTGCAGTTGTGTGGAAAGAATTACTTGAAATGAGACTAAAATCCCATTTTTACATCACACGCTGTACAAAATAATATTTTTGGTTGCGATGTTATTTTTCCTTTAATGTTATACGATGGTAATATACTATACATAGTCTTTGGTACATTTACGATATCGCTCGTCTTTTACAAATTATCATGGGCATAAGTGATATTAGCCCAATTACTGGCTTCGTTCGTGTCTAATAATTAGCTCAATATCTGCCGCGAAGCATCGATAACATGACTTGTATAACTTGTCAAACTAGACTAGAGACGAACAACAATTCCTACTTGTACAAATAATTGCAGTTGTAAATTTGTTCCACAAATATGCATGTTTTTAATAGTATGCGTTGAGTATTAATTTTTAGAATAAATAATATTTACTTTTAGGCATTAGACAGGTGTGGTGTCATCAAAATTGATAAAAGTTTTGTTTTTATTTAATTAGAAAAAAAAGTTTTTGATGATTTTTTTTTATCAAAGGTGTTTTTATCCTTTGGAAAACAATAGTTGAAGAATACAATAAAATAAGTCGAACGATTCCATTGAGCTCAGAATATTGGTCGTACGTATACCAAAATATTTTCTTTGACATTGCTCCATACACCAATTTCAAGAATGCAAAATAATCTAAAAGGAATTTCCCAATTAATTTTAGTTAATTAAAAAATGAAAAACCGCAAAAAACTGTAATGAATAAAAAAATCCATCACATGTGGAATTTTGATATTTCAAAAGGCTTTGGTAAATCGAACTTGTCTCAGTAGCAACGATGGCCGCAATGATTGTTATTCTTTGGTGGATGACGTAGATACGTGTCAGCAGGTTACTCGGACTTTACAATACACACGCGTCAACTGGATTCAAATTCGACTCTTATTTTATAAATAAATAATTCAATAATATTTCCAGTATGCGACCTTTGTTGCGTCATTTTTTTTCTTTTCGTTACTCGAATTATTGTTGAATCGACAAGTTACATAAATTCTACGTCACTGCAAGAAAAGTTATACCAAATTGATCATTAATTTAAATTACTTACCTGCTCGCAATCGTCCCAATCACCATCGAGAAAAACTTCAAAAAATTTTACATTAATTTGAAGCACGGGTAAGGTCACTCCGACAAAATAAATGAAAAACAATGCGCTATAATCTTCCGAACAAAGGACATTTTTAATGATAATCCGTTTATCGTCGCCAAGATCCCATTTGAGAAGAGCTCGCAACTTGGGCCGATTTTTCAGTTTGGCGCCAATGATATTCATTACAAAAGGTCAAGAGCCTTGAAAAAATGTCGATACAACAAAACTTGCATCCACAAGATCCCAAGATATTATTAAATGCCGAAAAACGTGTTTGGGCCCCTTATATTAACATTTTGACGCACAATGGAGAGACAACGTGAAATATACCTAATAATCGTCATCAGAAGGCAGATTAGAAAGGACCGATCCAAGCCCGTACGCTTAATGTCGATTTGACAAAAAGTCCTCAAGAACGTGCGCGTGTGTGGTCGTGTGCATACACGTATAAAAAAAAAAGCGCGTGGCTGAATAAACGAACGAGCGAAGAGAAGCGCTTATTGCTCAACTCGCGCGCGCCAAACACCGGCTGCATTATTGATCAGTGCGGCTGTGTATAGCCCGTACATGCTCGTTCTCTCCTTTTTTTTCCTTTTTTTTTTTTTTTTTTTTTTTTTTTTTTTTTTTTTTTTTTTTACGCGTTTGCGTACTACCCATGGAGAAAGTGCCTTTGGACTACCTCGTGTTATTAATTTCTCGGCGAACGAAAATTTTGGGGATCACCAAAAGATCGAGTTTAATAAAATCTAATGGCATAGTTTTTAAAATAAAAGTCTACTAGTAACAATAAATTGGACTGTTAGCTTATACTTACACAGATAAATAAAATTTTTACAAGTTTTACTTGTTACGGAAAAGTTTATTGATCTTTCATTAAAAAAAAAACATTTCATGACTTTTAGAGTACTTGCTCTAATGTTCGCTCGAAAAAAAAAACCATCAAAGAACAGAGGAACTCTTCTTATCTTCGAGAAACTGCATAATTTCCAAGCGAGCGGGAGATCAGGTAACTCATGTTGAGCAATCGTTTTGTGTCCAGAGCAAACAGACGCACATCTCGGGAGGGCTCGCGAAGCGTCCTCGAGAAAAATACGCCTTAGCCGAGATGGGGCGGCACGCCTTATTGCGCCTTTTTTTTGTTTCTCAAAAGTACATGCTTTACATCGTACGGCCGAGATGACGTTTTCTCGTCGCGTTTCAAGCACTTGCTTAAGAAGAGTTGGTAATTATCACGTGAGCGGATGTAAATGGGAAAACAATTTTTTTGGAGTGCGGGTTTTGCCGCTTTTTTAATTTACTTGCAAATTTTTCTGTTTTACCTTTTTACGGGTTGGCGTTCGTATGTTACCCGTTACATAACTGCATTACACCAGTACATGTCAGAGTTGAAGAGTTTTTTTTTATTTTTTTTTTTTTTTTTTTTTATATTGGTACAATTATTTTAAGAACTATTTTTTGTGCACCGAATCGCTAGTTTTCCGATCGATGTAGTAATAGGGAGATTGTAGGACTTTTTTTTTTAAAGGAAGAACTTGCTGATGTAACTCTACACCTCTGACTTTAGCATACCATCCATAATACTAGCTACAAAACGCATAAACGCTGTAACGTTGCCTTGTTAAAAATGTATATCCGTTCCATAAACTTGTTAGCAAAGTAACAATTTTTTTGTTTACAAAAGAAATAACTTTACAACGCTAATTGTGAAACTGTGAAAAACGTCATAGCCATAAATCATTACACTGGCATAAATTAAAACGGAAATCGGAAGTATTCCTCTGTTCAGCATAGTATCATCATTCAGTGCGGCGCAATCGATGCACTCGATTGACAAAGAACAAATATTTAAATGCGATTCTTCGAATCACGATCAGTGAGTGTACCTTCGCCTGCCGATACGTGTCACACATCGTGGATGAACATAAAACAAGTACTAGATAAAAAAAAAAAAAAATGAATAAATTGCTGTTTATTACTGTGACGAACTGTACAGTACAGAAGTTACATTCCTGAAGATTAATGTTCATACTTTTTTTTAGATTTATGATCTCGTCAAGCCATTCCTTTCTTTACTTTTTATCATTGGATCTCACTGAACAAGATACAAGGGACTTGACCCAGTATTTTAGATTTTTTTGTGCTACCTAAAACTTTTTATAACAATAAATAAGGTATAGAAAATTTTTAGGATTTTCATGATACATATGACTATAAAAATCTTTACTGACTAAACATAACTCAAGCGCTCTGCTTTTTCATTTTTGTTAAGATTACACACTCAGGCGATCGTCCTAACGTTGATTCGTTGTACAAAATAAAACTACCAAGTGTATTTTATAAAACACATCTTATATATCATCAGTTTCCATTTGACTTTTGCTATGGATTACATCAGCATTTTTACACCTTTTAACCTCTATTTGCTTGTATGTTTTTATCTCTTCGTTTGATTACTATTTGAAGAAAATAAGTACATGTTATTCATATCATTCAATTGAAAATAAAATTTTTTAATAAATTATACTGCTAGAAACTATTTGTGCTGTTAGTGTTCACCGGAGCTATAAATTTTCGATTAAAAAAGCGTCATCAGGATAATATTCGATCTTTAAAAAATATTAAAAAGCTTTTTTTATTACAATCTTTTCTAAATGAATGACATTATTGTAAATTTTTTTAATAATGAGTACAGGTAGCCCGAAAGCAACCTAAACGTCATCGAAACCATATACATCGAATTTTTATCCGGATGGAATGACCTCTTGGAGTTTTATAAGGACAAGCACTTTAAGAATCAAGTATTTTCTTCGTTTGTAGTGATCGATCATAGTCTTTTTGGGAATTTTTTTTCATAGTGTTGGTTAGTTTTGACGCATAGTAAAAACAACATTCCCCGTCCTTCCAAAAATATAAATAAAAGAGTTTAGCAGGAAACATTGGCATCTTTATATTTGGGTCCACCCAACGGCGTCATTTACATTTCAAGCGAAAAACCGGCCAAAACGTGTGACTCAAACTCACGTATTGGCAAAGTCATTGGATTCGACACTGAAATTTTACAGCTGCCAAGCGTTTATCATTTGTTAAATTTCATTGGAAATATCCAAATATATCGACCTAAGTTCCTTCAAATTCTTTTCCTTATACTTTTTTAAAAGATCGATTGTCACATGACTCAGGCCTTTTCGTTCGTTGTGTGATTGACGAAGATAGGCCACGAAGCTTGTTTGGCAAGTTATAAAAAAAATTAATCGAACCGAACTGTGACAATATTTGAAATGAAAAAAGTGTGCACTAAGAGTGGAGGACCAATAATGAGGACCTGTTAATAAAGAAGCCCTAATATACTCGTTCAGCTGCCCATATAAAAAAAAAAAAATAATAAAAAAAATAAGAGCTATTCCATATAATATTTCAATCCACAAGTTTTTCCTTCTTGTACCGTTGTAAGCCAACTCTTTCGATGGTATTACACCAACAGTAGCTATACCTCTTTAGATCTCAAGCACCTGCTCGGTAAAGTGTAAATTATTATTCGATAAAATATGTATACCGTTCCCTACTCTTCTTCCCCCCCCCTTCCATCGGTCATCCTGTTTCTTTTACTTTTCTTCGTCGACTGTCAGGACAGGTGACTTTCAGAAAAAGGAGTTACATTTTAAAGTTGGACGGTCAACGGTATATCGTGAGAAAGGCTTTCTGATGGTCTTCATTAAGTTGAATGACTTGACGCATTAAATATCATGATGGTTCGAAATATAGATTGAATGTACAATGGAGAGTATGATTACTAAGCATAAAAACGTATTAGTTGCTTCATTGATTCATAAAAATTGATTAGAGTGGCTGCATATTAAATAATAAAATGAACGTATTACTAATTTATAAGATTTTTATCACAAAAGCTGATATTATCCATGTGACAGTGATAACGATTGTTTTTACGATTGACACAGTGACCGGTTTTTCTGTTGCATTTTTCAACCTGAGAATGGCCCGTTTAGGAGAGATGATAAAAAAAAATTCTGAATAATTTTATTTAATTCACGTTCACTTACTGTTATATCTGTCAAGAAGAGATGATAAAAAAAAAAAGCCGCACGATCGAACAAAAGAGGAGAGCGACGAGCAAAAGGCGTCGACGCCGAGTAGAGTGGTGTACGATTAAGTAAACTGCCGCAACAAAGCAAAGGGAAAGAAATGGAACGAGCAACCACAAAAAACTGAGAGCAAGCCAGCCACCGCTTGTTACTGTAGACGCCTGACGCCGGCAACTTTATCTTTTCCTATATGGATACGTCGTACGGGTACTAGACGAGTGTGGGGGAAAAAGACGGCTCGTGAACACACCACAGCTTCAACTGTATAAAATTATTGATGTATTTTTATCGTTGAAAAAACATTTTTTTTTTGCTCGCAAAAAGAGCCAACAGACAAGATAATGACGCCAACTGGATAACTTGTGAATTTATGCGTGTATGTCAGTGTTACAGGGGCGTATTTTAATTATATGCATTCGTTATAGAAGACCTCGTCGTCACTTATTAAGTGTCCATTCAATGCCTTTTGTTCTTAGTAGCGCGAAGAGATTATTTACAAATTTAAAACATGTACACAGAATCACTATCTTCTACGCGTTTTTATCTTCTTGTTGCAATGAATCGCTATATAGTTGCTCCTTTTAATGTTTACTTTAAGAAATTGAATAAATTAAAAGAAAGTTTTTTGTACGAAAATAATTGTTATATTTACATTACCGTTAAATTAAAAATTAAAAATTCTAAATTTTCCAATTACAATTGTCCAACTAATTTATGCACTAGGATCCAGCTAACCGCTGCTGTTTTCTGGTGAGATACCTCTGCAGAGCAGCCTCAAAAGTAGGCCCAACAGTTCTCTTTACCCATATATTTACTTTCCTCTGTACTTCTGGTTTGGACTTCTTTTTTTCTTTATCTTCAACGTCCTTTGAAATGTTATTTTTTACTTTTTCCTCGGATGTCTTTTTGCTTTGTTTTTCAGTTTTATCAACCACAGGAGATTTCTTTGCTTCTTGTGCTTTATTTTCCTCAGATCCATCAGACAGTTTTTGCTTCTTAGCAGGTGCAACAATTTCTGATTTTGGTTTCTCTTCAGGTTTTTCTTTCTCTTTAGTAGAGCCTTCTGTTGCCTCATTTTCACATTCAGGCTCAGATTCAGACTCTGATGCGGACTGTTCTTGAGCTCTTTTCCTGTACTGCCTGTTTAATTTAGCCTTAGCCAGTGCAGACTTTTTGGTAATTTTTTTCTTCTCCTCATCTTTCGACTCATCACTTTCCTTGGACTCAGAATCTGATGGAATAGAATCATCTTTATCAAGGTCAAGGTGAAGCTCTTGTCTGTTTTCATTCTTATCACTAGTTTTCTTAACTTCAGGAACTATTCCCAAATCAGCTTTGTTCTTTTCCACGGTCTGCCTGTACAGATGTCTGTAAAATCCAGATATGTCTTTCTGTTTAGTTACATCGGTTATGGCTTCCAGCCTATCTTTATTGGCTTGCTCCTCTTCAAACTGTTTCATTTCTTCCAACTTGGCTTTGTAACTGGAAGTTACAAATCTCTCCTTATCAGGGAACATGGCATCTTCAGCTTCAATCTCCTTCTGAATCATCCTATCCTTCCGTAACTCCTGCTCTTTCTTTCTCAACTCTGCACTTCTCAGCAAATTATCTATATATTTAGACTTTCTTTCAACTTTCTTGGAAGCATTTATTTCTTCCTCTTTGGTGCGCTCCATCTCATCATAAACTTCATCGTACTGGAATACTGTTGGATCTTCTTTGAGTGCCTTTTGCAAGCTTATCTGTGTCTGTTTTTTGGACTTATTCTTCTCATGCTCAGCTTTCAGAGCTTTTTTTACCCAGTCAGTTCCCTCATCTTCTTCGGAATCGTCGTTGTTGCCAAAAATATTTCCAATTTTTGGTGCAGACAACTGCTTCTTATTCGTTAATATAAGTCCATACCTAAAATGATGTTTCATTTTAATCGAATTTTAACGATATTGACATCACTGTATCAATACCAAATTTTGTAGTTACAATAGTACACATAGATCATAGACAATGTTTAGTAAGCATACGTTTTTTTAATTTATGAATCACTGATAATATTTTCATACTTACTGTTGTGGTTGATTATTTGCCATGTTTTATTTGTTGCAATAACGTAATTCTTGGTTGAAGTAAAAAAAAAAAAAAACAACTTTCCCGTATTAGTATTACAGCTTTTACAGCTTTTAAATGCAGGTTATGTTGTTATTGTTAAATTTGCTATTTGCCAAAATAAAGTAGGTCAAGAAAGTGTTCTCTTTACCGGCCAACGATTGTTATCAGCTGCCGACTCAGATTTCGTCTATATCGATCGATGATGACTATGAACAGCATATGATAAAACAATTTCATCCTTATCAACATATCAATCGATAAACTATGCTTCGAAAATAAAACGGACAGCCAACGGCGTAACGGTCAGTTCGTATATATAATATTGTACTCTGGTTTGTTTTGCTTTTTAGCGCTAAACCGAAGCCGATTTTGTGATGTGCCTTTTATTTGAGGTTCAAGATTTGCAAGCGCCGTTTTAATAAAAAATAACAATTTTTTGATATTCACTTTTGATTTAAAAAATCGCGTCAATGCTTATTAACGGCTTGATTTCATATTCAGTACGATGTGAAGTTTTCTTGCTTATGGAGGAACTGTCGCACCAGGTAAAAACAAAACTTTATCCGCTTTTTATAAATTTTCCCTTTGTAAGCATATCGCGTTTTTAACTGTAAAGTACTAAATCCGAGTATTATCATGGCACGACAGTCATTTGTTGTTTTACAGTATTTTAGGTGAAAAAGTTGAAATGTCACTCGAGGCCAACATAGTTGAGCAGCTTCAGGAGCTTAGAAAGTGGCAGCAACAACAGCAGGAGGAGTTGATGCGTAGGCAGAAAGAGCAAATACAACAGCTTAGTTGCGAGCAGACTCGCGTGTACGAAGCTTTGAGCTCGAGCATCGATGATGAACAGTCGCTGAAGGAATTAATTCAAAGCCACAAGAAGAAAAACGGAGTTGAGGAGGTGGTGGAGTCAAATTTGATTGATCTTGACACTCCTGACGACGAAGACGACGAAAACGAGTGTAACGCAACTGAAAAATCTCAAGATTCATCTCACATAGATTTGCTTCATGACACAGATTATGATGAGGATTCTATCTCTGAAACGCCAAGGGGACAGCTCGCTATTGAATGCAATAATGATAGCTTAATGCCTAGTAGAAGTTACAATAGTTCGTTCAGTCTTTACACGAGTACCGATTTAATCCCAGAAGACATGCGATCGCTTTGTTCTAATAAGTCCCAAAGGTCTATCCTCATTGATGATTTACCAGTGCCGTCTCCTAAAAAAGACTTCAGCACATTGCTAGAGGAAAAATTGAGGGATTCCGAGGCTGTGAAATTTGATAATGCAGCTAAGCCCGTAGTTAAGAGACCGTTTTTAAAGAAAGGACAAGGTCTTGCTAGGTTCAGGCCCAAACCAAAAAGTAATGATAATAAGACATGTCCAGCAAGATCCAGAAGTGTCTCATTTTCTTCTGCTACTCAGTCCAGTGCCTCCAAGTCTTCCAAGTCAGAAAATAACGGAAGATACAATTCTGTGCCTAAAATAAAAAAACATGATACAAAGACAAGTTTTCACTCAGCAAATGTACAAAAAAACATTTTATCCTCGAAATCTGGTGCTAGAAAATCTATTTCACCCTTGTTACCTCAAAAACTTAATTTCAAAAATGTTCCTCTACCTCAAAGAAAAGTTGACAATAGAATAAGCAATGCTCAACAATCACGGAAAGCCATACTTGACAAAAAGAAGCCTCCAGTAATTACACTTGATGTTAGTAATTCTGACCTTGAAGGTAAGACCAAAAAAGAATTGGAGGAAGTCAGAATATTTGAACTGTTGGAAGATAAAGCGGAAAACTCAAGTTTCTGCTCAACATCAAGTACAGTTATAGCTTTTATGCAGCAGTCAACACCTTTGAAGCAAAAAGCTCTTTTACACAGTGCAACTAAACATCAAATTTCTCTTAACAATGTAGGTGATCAGACCCTTGAGGAAATCGTTAGTAATACCGAATCCAATAATCTGGTGGCACCAATGGTACAAAATAACAACAATGATCAACATATTTCTCAATGGGAAGTAATGTCGATGATGAAAAATAACAAAAGCGGCAACAAGACTGTGCTTCCTTACGGAACTGACATTGATATGCATTATGATAAAAATTCTAATCAAGAATCAAATCTGGTAAATATACTTTTTTTTTTTTTAAGTATAAAATTCATTTTTTTTAAATACGAAGAATAAGACAAAAAATTAGTTTCAGGATCAAAATAACGCAAGCCTTCACGTTAGGTTTGCTGAATACAACGAGTACAAAACCTTGTCTGACTCATCTAGTGTTTCGAGCGAGTCGGGCTCTGTTCGCGATTATAACACTCATGGAGTGTGGTCGGATCATTCAGGAACTCCAGACACGTCAGACATAGAAAGTATACCACAAAAATTAAAAGCCATTGGTTTATGTAACAATGGCAAAGCTTGTAATTCTTTTTCGTGCATGGCTAAAGAAACGGAGGACAGCGAATATGAAGATGAAGAGTCCCAAAACCCTTACAATCAAGAAAATGGTAAAGAAAGCAGAGATTGCACTGAGGACGATTACGAGGATGATGCAGAATCAAAAAATGACACAATTACAAGTGTTGACACTGTTATAGAAAAAGATGAAGGTAAATCGCTTTTTAAATCAGAACTTGTGAGGAAGCGTCTTTTAGAGTTGGAACACGAGATCGAAGTTTTTCGAAAGGAGAGTGCGGCACTTATTAATTTGAAACAAAAACTGCAAGAAGAACGCACACAGTTGCACGAGGAACGTATCAAAATGCAGAGATTTATGAAAGAGAAAGAGACAACATTGGAAGCAGAAAAAAGAAGAACTGAGAGCAATCTAATGGATGAAAAGAAGCGTTTAGCTCGGGAAAAAGCGGCGCTGGAGAACAGAATGAAAGACGCGTATGAAAAAGCGCTAAAATGCAAGCAGGAACGCCATGAAATTCAAGTATTACGTGAACAAGTGGAAGAACTGAGGGAAGAATCTGAACAGAAAGAGAGCAAATGGTCGGCCATGGCTGCACGTCAACGCTGTCAGATCCGCGTATTACAGTCTGAAAACGCTAAACTCAAGCAGGAAATAGAGCAGCTTCTTCAAAAACAGAAGGAAAGGCTGAAGAGAGCCGTAAATTCGAACACAAGAGCTATTCATCAAATCGGCAAGTCCTTGGCTGACCGTAAAAAAGTCTCGCCAGATAAAAATGAAGAACCCAGTCAAGAGGACAAATCAAAAAAGGCACCTCACGCCACCAATGTAAATTACGATTTGGATTTGGATATTATGGAAGAAAAGCCACGGGAAGTGAAAAAAGTGAAAATTCCAAAAACATTAGAAAGCATCGCGCGAACACGAAATTTGTATGAAATGTTGTTACGGGATGCGACCGAAGATTTTAGAGAAATTCAAATTGGCGAAAAACCCTTTCTTAACCAGATGCATGATATTCAAAAGCCGAGAGAAGAGGAAAAAGAAGAAGAAGAAAATGATGATGATGATGATGATAAAGACACACAAAACAAAGCTCGTTTCACTAAAGAGGGTCCAGTGGATCGTGAAGAAACGTCTGACGAAGGGTGTGCTGTTGATGTTGAGTCACAAGAACAAGTACAGTCGAATAGCCATAAAACGAATTGGAAAACCAAAACTGATCAGCCTAAGCCTGCTATGAATAAGCAAGCAGTCAGAGAAATCCGCCATTCAGATGGTCGAATGGAATTGTGGTATCCAAATGGTAACGTGAAGAAAGTTTTTCCGGATAAGGGTCTTACAAAGATGATCTATTACAATGGTGACGTGCGTGAGACTAACCAGGATGGAGTTGTGAAATATTTTTACGCTGTTTCTAGAACGTGGCATACAACGATGCCGGATGGTCTTGAGATTTTAGAGTTTCCCGAGTAAGAATTGTTAAAAAAAAAATTTTTTTTAAACATTTTTTTTGAAACATGCTAGTATTGGTTTATTAAATATGATGAAAAAAAAAAAAAATTTCAGTGGTCAAGTGGAACGAAAATCAAAGGACGGCACCCTTGAGATCACCTTTGCGGACGGTTCAGTCAGGATTGTTCAAGCAGATGGTACAGACAAATGGGCCATGAAAGATGGAACTATTGCCGAGACTACAGCGGATGGTGATAGGATTCTTACATTACCGAATGGGCAGAGAGAAATCCATACAAAAGACCATAAGGTAACTTTTATCATTTGAAAATTTATAATAACAATTCAAAAACGTTGAAAATAATATATATATATTACAGAGACGAGAGTATCCTGATGGCACTGTGAAACTCTTGTATGCCGACGGCACTCAGGAAACACGATACGCTAGTGGCCGAATCCGATTGAAAGATAAAGATGGTAATCTCCTAATGGATACTCACCAGTAACGTTGCTCATAGTATTTTAAATAACAGTAAGATATTAAGACTGATAGTATTAACTGAGCTGTACGTTTTAATGTTTCTTTTTGAACCATTTTTCACGCGAAAAAAACTTTCTTAACTGTAACACAATGATGTCAATGTGTCAAGTAGAGTAATTTTATAATTTTTGTACGAAACCGTGAAATGAAAGGCATTATTTAACTAAGATTAGCCGTCTAATTATTTTATGAAATTAGATTTAAGTATACAAACTACAATCACAAACACAACAAATTCATTTTTTTTTTTTATGTACATATATACAAAATATAAACGAAAGCCGAAGGGCATGTTATGTTTGTGCACACTCCTCAAACGTCGTGGCCAAATCTTGTAACTGTCTGTCAACCGGCGTCTTGACCTCATTCATTTTCACTGTGTCCGAGAAATCGGTTGTTTTCAACTCGCTTTTCACTTTATCACTGCATACAGACAAATCACTTGGATTTATGTCATTGAGCAGCGTAAGAGCCGCTTTGAAAGTCACTATAGTGTACGAGTATTCATCATGTGGTGACACGCACCAAATGAAATTTTCCAAATAGTAGAGATCGGTGTAGAGTCGCTCGCAGCGACACTTGATTATGACGAAGAGTAGCAAGAGGATGAGATCTTCCGTGTCCAAGCTGCTGGGGCTGGCTTTGTCCTCGTCGTTGTATAGGTCAGTTTTCGATTCTACATCGGCTAGGGCACCTTTTATCTCGGCAACTATAAAGTCAATCGTACTTTTTAGGCACAGCAACTTTTCCAGTGGCCCTCTGTAGCTCGCAAAAGCAGCTGAAAAAAAGTTTTATCCTGTATCACTATCGTTACGCTTGCGTGTATTAATAATTTTTCCGCTGAGCAATACTTCAGAAAACCGTACAACTATGAGATCCAAGAGGCGTTTCGAATGAATGGACAAAAAAACTCGAGGATAAAAACAACGGACTACCTAGTTCCACTATGGCAGCAGGCAAAGGAATAGCCAGGGACTTCTTAACTCCAAGCTGATCCGTCGTGACGCCAACTTTGATCAATTGGCAAATTTTATTCTTCAGCGCTAAATCCTTCTCCTTGAATGTAAAGCTCAGCAACGAGTACAAGCTCTCGTGCAGTAGGTGCATTACGAATATCTCGAGGGAGAAGCTCAACAGCTTCTGAAATCTCGCGTCCCTCTGGACGTCCAGGCTCTGTTTGCGTATTGTGCTTGCCCAGTAATCCAGATACAGCTTGTGCAGCCTCTGTTTTAATTTATCCACGGAACTGCTGCGATTTATCTCGATCATCTCTACTTCAGTCACCAAATCGTCGAGCGAGCATGTCTTGTCCTCCGGTAGCTCCTTCAGAAATTCTAGGGCTCTAAAGAAAAAAAAGAAAAAAAAGAAAACACTTTTTTGAATAACATCGAGATTGAATTGCATAAACTAAAGAAACATTCGACATACTCCTTGTATGAGGTGATGTTTCTATTGAGATTAAACTTGTGCGATTGGCATATCTGGGCTATCCTGTACTTTCGATGAATCGGTTCATCGACTATGATAATATTGTAGAGTTGGAATTCCTTGTTGTAGCCCTTCTCCGTTGACAAGATGTTAACCCTGTACTCGTCGTTATTGTTATCATCACCGTCGTCATTGTTGATCAGCTTAATCGTATTATTTTCGATTTCGTAAACGTGCGATTCAGCTGCGTCGGTGGAAACAAAGCGGGAACGTATTTTCGAATCGCCACGGCCTATTGGTTTCAAAACGTGGTCATCTAAAAAGAATTCACAACAATCTTTGGGTTCAAGCACATACTTGTGTCGTATCAAGAAGATATATAGGCACATATGCATACTTCCACGAACTGTGATATGGATAAAAAAAAAGTCTTATCAACATGCTACAGCGTAAGGTGAGAACCGAGAAGGTGTACGTAATAATTGATGAGTATAAAATACAATATACATGTATAGAGTATCAGAAAAATATTTAAAGGTATTATAAAGACGTTCGGATTGAAGCTTACCAATGAATTCTTTCGTAATGGAAACTTCGCGCAAGGAATGCCCGGATGGTACGCATATCGTCCAGCATTTCGATACCGCATGGTCGTACTTTTTTTTATAGTCATTCTGGAAAAAGAATTTTGCGCGTTTATTATTTTTCTCCTTTTTTGAAAGTATTATTTGTAATATTTAAAATAAATCCTTTCACGTACGAATTATAGTAGGAGGGATGTACACACACATATTATATAAAAGGCTCCTCCAAAACAACAATTCATACTTAAAACGTAATTATTTATAAATCGGTAAATCTACGATCGTTTTTGAGAAACAGGAAAAAAATATACATTAAATGTGAAGCGAGATTGAATATTTAAAAATCGAAAAGTACAAAATTTTTCCATAGGCAATGAATGTGTACTTAATATGCTATATGCCGTTGAAGATAAGAGAATGTAATACTTAGGTGCGTATCCATAAAAATCGGAATGCCCGGAAGCACTATTTGACTGTCGCGCGTTTTAGAAATAACACGATAAACGTATGAATGTAATTCAGAGAAAAAATAAAGAGCGTGTAGAGCATATGCAGAACCTTGGAATGAGAAAAGAATAACAACTCGAATACAAGATCGAAGAGGAAACGAAGTCTATAAATAAATCGGATTGTCGTTAAAATAACGACAGTTCAGAACTAATCCGTTAGTCGTACGGATGACAATATATATGTATATATAAATTTTGAAAAATCCAATTAACACCACGTTATCGGGTCTTTCCCAAGTGTAAGTTGCGACTTATCGCTTTTCTCTAAATGATACCCGTACATTTTTTCTCTGAGCTACAATCTACAATTGCGCTTTCGTGTGTGTACATTAATAAACTCTTACCAACGATATAACGATAAGCAATTTAAAAAAAAAAAAAAAAAAAAACTCACCTGGAGCAGTAGATAAAAAACGTTGTTTACCAGCTCGTCCAGGTCCATGATGTAAAATTTTTTTTACCCTCTTCACCTATCGAATTCACATTATTGCACTTACACGAGAATGAAGAAAATTAAAACTAACACTTACACACACGGCAAGCAATGCAATTGCACGCATGCACTCGCGATCGCAGTTTTAATTGACTCAAGTCAGCCCGGTGTAAAAGGTAAAAAATTAAATCAAACGTGCAGCAGATCGAGACCTTGCAGAGTCGCGCAACTGATATGCCGATTCAATTTTTCCCACTACTAACTCCTCTGTAGACGGTCGGTATAGGTGAATGATGTGTGTGCATGAGACGCACATTCTTCGTGTCTACCTTGTGTGATTTTCCCTCTTTTTTTTTTGTTTTTTTTTTTTTTGTTTATCATCTAAAAAAACTCACCTGCGAAAGAGAGAGGGAACTCTTTAATGATTATCACAGCTGAACCACCTATTATAAAACATACAAAAAAGATGTATGCCACACGCCTCCTTAACTTACGCGCGTATGAAATTTGAACTCCAAACACACGTGAGGTACTCTACCTACAACAAACTACACGTGTAATAAACATATGATATACATTGCCGTATACATTCTGTGCACAGGAGTAGGGAGTAGGGGGGGAATGTTTTTTTTTTTAATGGCTGTCAGTTTTTTGTTTACATTTTCGTACAATTTCGACAACTGCAGAGAATTCGGTGCTTGGGGGCATATATATGTAAATAGTATCAGATTAATTTATTTGTTAATCGATATCTGTACTGTTTTTGTCTACTTTTTTGGAGTTCTCTGGAAATGTTTCACTGCAGTTCTGCTTCATAAATATATATTGCTTGTTTTTTTGCGTTACTCGAGAGGAATGAATAGCCAATACTAACCTGTTTGCCTCTTTATGGAGCCATAATTTGCGATAAATAAACATTTTTGGTACTCTTTTAATATTTTTTTAACCTAACTACGTGCTTTCGCTGTAAGATTGTAGTAAGTATTATTTTTCACGTCTATTGACAGTATTATTATTTTTGTACCACAGATCAGATAAAAATTGTACCAGATGGTGCGGAGGGCAGAATAAATGCGCTCAGCACTAAGTGTTATACTGTCGAGTCCAGTGCCCGACAATAAAATGTCTCATCCTGATTACGAGCAAACGGCTCATGATCATGCGACTATTTTAATATTGCTCAAGCCACTTTGTGCACAGATTAAGCAAAAAACCATAGCCAGAGTGTGCGAGAGAATTGTGAAATGTGGCAGCAGATTTACAGTTGTTGATTCAACAAACAAAACTCGCGAGATACTTGCTAGATTTGTCAGGGAACATCCTGTGGAAAACAATGATTGGGGAGACTTTCAGACTCATAGAAGATTACTGGGTATGTTGAGTGTGATTAGTAGAAACATATAGAGAGATATTTTGCCCATGGATGTGTCTTTGATATGTTTTTTAAATCAATACAATCTCAAAAAATTCGTAGGTCTTGTGACTATTGGCAAGTATGAAAATCAAACAGAACTGAACGAATTGTGCAGGCTCCACGAAACCCTCAAAGTTAAGTATGTCCAAACGCTGTATGACTCAAGAGCAATTTTATTTGGACCAACTGCATCAGAAAATTTGAATGAGCCACCGACACCATTTACAACACCACACAATTTCAAAACAATAGGCATATTTTATAATGACGAATCGTGTTTGGATTTAGAATCACAGATGCTGGAATGCTTTAATTCTATTTTCTTCATCTTAGAATCTAAAAGACTGGAGCGTTCCAGGGAAAAAATCGATAGGGTAGCCTTGCTTCAAGCACCGTTTGAAAAAAAAGACTTTATTGGCCTAGACTTGGAGTCGAGAAATAACCGAAAGAGATGCGTGGGTCGCGCGACAAAGCACCTGGGTGACATGTGCCTTCAAGCTGGTCTAGCTGTTGATGCTTTAAATAATTACAATTCAGCAGCTGTCACTTTACAAGCTGTTAATGACTGGTTGTGGCTTGGAGCGGCTTATGAGGGGCTATGCGCTGTGTCGGCTTTTACTTTGTATCCCAATATGTGTCGAAGTCTTCCATTGCAGAGAAATTCATCTTTACAGGAGGGTAGTCCTGGAAAGCAAAGGTATATATTTCTTTTTAATTTTATGTTACACATTCATAATACAATTTATCATTCTTTTAGACGAGGATCGCAGGCAACTACTGCTCTACCTACTCCACCAACATTAGAAACTGTAAAAGCTACTATGCCTCATATTTTACCCCCTGAAGAAATTTGCAAGAAATATCGGGAGGCTATTGTGCATTACAGTAAATATCAAAATGCTGGTATTGTTGAGACTGAAGCTAGCTTCAAGGCTACTAGGATTTCTATTGAACAAAATTGCACTCTGCAAGCTGCATCGTTTCTGAGTAATGTGTTGTTTAATCACATGAACATTAGTGAACAAGAGAAGGTTGGCTCTTATTTTTTGTTTAAAAATCTTACGCATTAAATATATTAAATTACGTTTTACAGATTGATCGTTTTACTACTTTAGCAGAGCTATACTCTTCTTTCGGATACACAAGGAAAGCTTCGTTTTGTTTGAGACACGCTGCTTCGCGACACGTCTCGCAATACAATCCAAACCCTGACTGGCACCAGTGCTATAACTTGTTATTACAAGCTACATCTGGTTTCAAGTTATCCCTAGATCCAGTGGAAATGACTTTTGGTAAATATATTGAATGTTTGTGCAATTATAAAATACCTAAAGCAAAAATTATACCAAAGTTTATGTTACCAAGCAAAGATTAAATGTTGTTACAGAAAACAGAATAGGTTGGCCGTCAATTCAAATTCACTTGATTAACGAATTAGTAGCAGCAGCAAATCGCATGGGTAATCCAGCCTTAGCCACCAGACACCTAACGTTTCTTTTGCAGATAATGTACAACTATCTAACGCCAGTAGAAAGGAGGGAAGCGGCCTTACAGTTGCAAGCTGTTTCTCAACAATGCGAGGGTTCACCTGTCCCTTTTGTAAAATTATTTTTAATAATCTGGTAGTACATTGCATCGTAAACAAGAATTTTTTTTTCAAATTGTTAACTTTTCATTTTAGGTATTAGACTCGGGGATCGTAATACCACCGGCTAATCTCACAAATATTCCACGAACTAAATCATTCTCTTTGAAGAACCTGCAGCCGCACTTGCAACCTCAGAAAATCGAACGCGTTAAAGAGGATCACGGTCCATTTCTTTTCACGCCCATAAATTTTGGCTCTCTCGAACGCAAGACGACCTCCAAAAGCAAAGTCGATTACCTATGGGTCGACGGAGACATATGCGAAGTATCAATGCAACTGATCAATCCGTTGCCCTTTGAGCTGCATGTATCAAACATGCGCCTATTGACCAACGGTGTCGTATTCGAATCCATTCCAGAATCAGTTACTCTGCCAGCTGAATCCGGAGCAATCGCAGTCACACTAGTTGGTACACCAAGAGAAGTGGGCGAGCTCGAAGTGCTGGGATTCAGCACTCATTGTCTTGGAGTAAAATCAAACTGTAGGCTGAGGCACATGGAAGCAATGCCGCACCCAACTTACACGGTTGAGGTGGTACCTGCTTTGCCCAAAATTAATGTAGAGACAAGTTTACCTAGAACGGCGAGTTTTAGCTCTGGTGAGAATATTGTTACAAGTGCTAGTATTTCTTTGTATGGTGGAGAAAGGTAATGAATGTTAATTTTTAGTTATTACTTTGAAACATTAACAAAGATTGAGTTTCAAATAATTTTCTATGGTACTGCAGTGCTGAGTGTACGATAACAATAACAAATGTGAGTCAAGTGCCAATTGAAACAGTAGAAATATCAGTGCAATCGACTTTAGATAACTTGACAGAATCTAACGTATTTAAATGGAGCGATGAAAATCTGTTAACGCAGCTACCCCTGCAGCCTCAGGCCAGTGCCAGTATTACTCTGTACATGTATGCTGCTGTAGATTTCGTAATACCACAAGCTCATGGTATTCGTTATATTATTTAAATAATCATTATTGTTGAACAAATAAACAAAAAATTGTTCGTTTCAGCAGCCAGTAGCACATATCATAGTCAACCAAATAGTTTGATTTCTCACTCTGGACCAAGTTCCTTACCATCGCGATTAAGTACTATGTCTTATCACACGAAAAGGCAGTCGGAATTGACTGCGTCATTCCGTTCGGGTACAAGCTCGAATTCATCAAATTCCTTAGGAAGCACACGCCTATCCAAATTGGCAGTGCCTTTGCATGCTTCTAATGTTGTTGAGGGTCAGCTGAAAATCAAGTACTCAGGTAGCGCTGGATTGGCTGCGGGTTACTGCAGAATGTCTTCAGTTTTTATTACCATAGAGATGCTTCCTAGTGTACAGATCACAAGCTGGGATGTTTTGCCGGCAGAAACGTATGTTCAGCTGTAAAATAATATTATCAAGAATTAATTTGATAAGTAATAAATTTTTTTCCATCGTGGTTTAGGCCTACCCAATTTTATTTGGTTTTGGATATTACCAATATGACAAACTATGAGATGGAATTGTATTATACGCAAAGTAAAAGTATTTCCATGGAAGGTCGAGAATCTTGCAGAATACCTATTCCCGTAGATAGATGTCCACTGAATAAGTTATCCATGGCAAACTCGAATGCCGGAAACAACGATGATTTGCAGAAGATTTGTGCTGAGCATATAGCGTCATTAGCTGAGCTAAAGTGGCAATTATTAGGAACGGAATCGAAAGGCAGAGCAACTTTGTCCGGACTAACTTTGACCCAGGATATGTTGGATCTTGTGAGGATGAGTCCATTACAATGGGGTACATTAGTATTAATAACTTTACATTTTTACTACGAATGATGAGTAAATATCAAATTTTCAAATGTATATTTTACTGTTAGATGTCACGATCAACGATATAGTGTTGAAAGCGCAGGATGAAGTAATATGTAGCCTGGGAGAATGCGTCAGTGTTGGAGTCGGCGTATCCAACGCATTGGAAAACCCGTTGAAGCATTTAATTTTGTCTGTAAATCTTTACCAAGATCATCATAATGGCGTGAACAATTACAGGCTCGACACGAGAGTTTCCATAGCGGGAGCAAATAAAGTTATGCTTCCAACTGTAAGTTGAAACAAATTTTTTTTTAGCAACAGTTAATTTGATTTGCCGATATACCATTACGTTGTGTTTATTAACAGTTGCGAGAATCTGGCAGAGCGTATCACGAGTGCCGCATAGTATTTCTCACTGCTGGCCAGTATAAGGTAGATATTCAATGCTGCAGCCGCGAACCAGCTTTGGATGCTTCAACGATTTGCTCGGATCTCGGTAATGCTGGGCATACGTGGCGCTACATACCGCCCATCGAAATAAAAGTGGAGGATTATTGAAACAAAATTTATTCTTTCTACGCGCTTGTATTTGTTTATAAGTATTTAAAAAATGAATAGTATATTTTAATGGCACGTTTTTTTTGGTTGTTTTAATAAAATGTTTTGTGTACTTTATTTGTTGATTATCATAAACAATTTTTAATCAAACAACACAGACTATTAAAATAATTTTTGTTTTTTATTGGTTTCTGCACTTCAACGTATAAAATACGATTTTTTACACTATGTCAAGAACATAATTATGTATATTTGAACACTAAGCCTTATAAGTTCATGGCATTTATCTAGAGGTTTATAAATTTGTATGTACAGATTTAAATATCAAACGATAAATTATATATATATTTTTTCATTCTTCGATTCTACTAGATTACATTAATAAAGTTTAATCGTTATTCAGTCAAAATAAGAACTGACTTTTTTGAAAAAATTAGTATTATAAAATCCCATTGAAAATATTTGTAAATTACGCTAAGAAGACAGGATCATCCAAACTTTGGTTTTTTTCCTAAAGGAACTATCTCCGTTAGTTCTATTTGTCTTCTGAACTTTTTGTAGAAATTAAGTACCTCCTTGTTGGCCCATACTTGCTCAGAACTGAAATCTAACACTCTAAGCGTCTGTAAGCTTTGAGCTCGCGACAACGCTACGTAAGCTTGACCAGCATCAAAAACTCGCGCGAGACTCATCTCAACGCAATCCAAGGTCAATCCTTGACTCTTGTGAATTGAAAAAGCCCAGGCAAGTTTGAGAGGCAACTGTTTTCTGAAGACAACTGCACCACTAGCAACTTTTATGCTCCACTTTTCCATCCTTGCTTTGTAATTACCGGCTTTTCGGAAATGCACAACTGGTAGATCGTCCTCAAATTTAACTATCACTCCTCTTGCTCCATTTACAAGTCCTTTGCTAATGCTAAGATTTTTGAGCAACATCACCTGGGCTCCAACTTTTAATACTAGCTTACTTGGTACTGTTAATTGTTGATCAAGCTGTCTTGTCACAAACTGATCCTCAGATGAATCCTGAGCTACATACGTTTTTACGACACCTGTCAACTTTTCCAACTGAGATTCGTTAATATCGTTGGCTTCATTTACGTGAGAGCATAATCTAGTCGCCAAAATACCATCAGATTCGATTTTCTGTTTGGAGGTATTTTTCAGTACTTCACTTATTTCATCAGTCACCTGTCCTATTCTTAATTTATTGAGAATGTTCACAAACTTTGGATCGGTTTGCCTGTGCACAGTTTTGAGCTCAAAATTCAATTGAACACATTTTCCCCAAGCTTTACTCTGGAAACAAAAGTTAACCTTCTCGTCTTTCTTAGAGACAGGAGGTAATTGAAAAAAATCACCACACAAGATCAATTGAATGCCACCAAAAGGTTTTTCGCTGTTCCTAACGAACCTTGCAATTGTTTCAATCTTGTCAAAGTAATCTCCTTCCACCATGGAAATTTCGTCAATGATCAAATGTTTCGTTTTCCTCCAGAGCGATGCTGTTTTTGACACCATCTGTTTGCACCTTTCGATAGTTGCGGTTCCTAAGCCAATACCAGCAAACTGATGAAGAGTTATTCCACCTATAGCACAAGCTGCCACTCCAGTACTTGCTGTGGCCATTGTAACATTTGGCGGCAAGGCGTCTATGATTTTTTTTAGAAGAAACGATTTACCTGTGCCTGCACTACCAGTAAAGAAAATGTTCTTTCCTTGCTTAACACACTGCAATATTCTCGATTGCTCCTCAGTCAGTTCTTCAACACCCAAATTGTGAAAGAGTTTTTTGGCTCTAGGAATCTTTGGACTGTTAGCAATTCCATTTTCAGCCCCAAGTTTTCTTTTTCTAACATTGGTGGGAGAGGGTGTTGTAATGGTAGCACGGGATGCAGCAACTGCTTTCTCTTTGGCCCTGTTGATCTCGGCTATTGTAGCTGGACTCACGTCTTCAGTACCGCCTCTATTGCTCATTAATTTTTCTCTCAATGGATTTTTTGCTCCATTGTTGCCACCATCATCTGCATTTGACGTTTTTATGTAGATGGTCTTCAGAAAATTCGTCAGTGGTTCGATTGGCGCATTCGAAAAGTACACCGTACAGTTTTCTCGCTTGAATTTAATAGAGGCCTTGCCCTCGGACATGAATCTGTTAAAAACTGCGATGTCCTGTAGATGTAGTTTGATCAAGCTGCTAGCTTTTTCTCCTCTAACTTCAACCATTAGCTCTCTGTCACTGTTTCTTGTAAGACGAGACGTCGCAGTGCGGTGACTGACCTTCCGCAATGTCGTTCCTTGAGGAGTAAACCATTCCACTACTGTTACGCATGTTACGAAGCAGCCACCATCCTCACTCATGATTGTCGATTGTCAAGTATTTACTACGTTATAATTACAGTATATGGTTCAACAGCTGAAATGAACAAAAAAAAAATCAAAATTAGTTTTCAATTGACTCGACTCTTGTTTTAAACATCACAACTGTTAGTTTCTTTGATTTAGGCCTTTTAATTCCGACTAACCAAAACCTGATGGAATACATTACGATTTTGCTGATAAATAATTTGTATATTAACACAAGCATTATACTTGGTAAAATAATATTTATACTTACTTAAATTCAAAGATGATATGATACTACTTGTCATAGCAGGCACGTACAGCGTACATTACTTATGCCGCGCAAAAAGGTAGGCCCTATCTCGTAGGTACTTATTCTTATATAAAAATTTTTCAACCGCTTACAGCGTACCAGAGGCAGCAAATGGCACGATGGCACAGTGCAGCCACCATGACGGATAAAAAAATCAGCTGTGATATGTCAAAAAACGTTGACAGTTGACACAAAAAGTTAAAAGAAGACGAAGAAATTTGTTTGTTAATTTTTTTATTAAAAATAGATGTAAAATTAAAGAAAATGTTACTGCCGGTTCAATTCAGTTTCAGCTACTATTGTTTCATACGTGAGTAGGCCAGTTATTTAAAGAAACAGCGAATAATTTTTATATGTAACACCTAAATACCTATTTTTAATAATATATGTTTTTCATTAAATTCATTTACGATCGTGATTTAATATAATTCAAATTTGAACTATAACCACGAAGGCGCTGTAGCTCTGATCTTCAGGCAACTTCAGGTTATTCTACGGTTCCCGCAGAAAAAAAGCCTGAGCCAGAGCTAGGTAACTCTAGGTAAGTAAACTAGTGATACCTAACAAGTGTTTTTTATATGAATTAAATCAACAGGTTATTATGAAATTCCGAAAAATTAGATAATTTTTCATTGCTTATGATAAATTGACATCATTGTTCATGTTTTTCTCATTTTCAAATTATCTATATAATATATATCTCAATATATACCTATCTGTGAAGTAATACAATTTTGCTTGAAAACTTATAACACGTATTATTATTATTTAGGTAGATTTCCGGCTATAAATAATTAACTTGCATTCAATTGCATTTGGTCTTGGTAATCTTCCATGGCCATTTCAAATGTATGCACTGTGTGATCACAAACTTTAGACAAATCCTCCAGACCTTGGCGTAGAATGTCAATTGCTCTACCTTTCTTAGCTTGAATTCTAAAGTGCATTTTTGATTCTGCAGGATGTGGTACTGTGTAACCACAAAATTCTACATCAGGACTGTAAAAACATTAATAAGCTTATGAATATTACCAGATTCAAAGACACTCAGGAGCGGAATAAATAAATGGGACGGACAAAAAAAGTAAAGGTCAAATATTTTTATGATTAACTTATAAATGTGAGGAAGATAAAGTTGAGTATGAAATTCGTTGTACTCACTAATGATTAATTATAGAACGTAAAATGTTTCCCAAAGTGTGTCCTTCATCTTCAAAAACGAAAGTCCTTGATTTTTCATCATCACCATCGCCAGCGAGCTTACATTTTTTAAAATTATAAAATAGTTTGAATAAAAATTCAATAACATTGGAACAATTCTCGTAAAAACATTATATCGTGAATAATACCTCTGCTAGTCGGCCCATGTTTATCAATAATAGACGGTTTTTAAATAAAAGTTGAAGGTATAACTAATTTACTCAAAATGTTACTCTTCCACGTGGGTTTCTGTTTCTTACTTACTGTTTGTAAACAAACATAAACGTAGGTATATAACGATGGGCCAGATGCGGGCCAGGGAAAAAATGAGAAGCAGACGACGCACGTGTGCACAACATTGCTATGACCTATATATATATATATGACATTTTTTTAAGGCAACTCTCAACTCTCCCTCGAGGGGATCCCTCTCTAGTCGACTACAGAAAAAAAAATATATATATAAACTGAGACTACAGCACCATGCTGTGCGTGCAAGGCGGGGATGAAGAGCGCGGTAATATTCGAATTTATCATTGGAGCATTAATTTTCAAGTCAGGTATTTTTACGAAAAAACCACAAAACCCTACTAATCGTACACATAACAAGATTATGGTTTTTTTTGTCTGCCGAAAAATATTAATAAAAATTGGTAAACTTTTTTGGACAAAACAAAAAAAACATATATACAATTTTTTAAATGGCATTATTGATGAAGTTAAATATCTGCAAAATGTTAAATAGACATAATTATAGACATATACAAATAATTATAATGGGCTCTTGGATCTCGTCTTGGATTCAAGGGTCAGATGCAAAACAGTCTTTCAACACCAGAGATGAGTATAGACAATAACCCAATAACCGTACTCATTACTCATCTCTGTTCAACACATACTATCATCGTATACATCAGTAACGTAAATTTTATTGAACTTATGTTTATAGAATTTTGAATAATTTTTTTTTTTTAAGAAACTTTTAGAAGTTTATTTGTAAATTGTAATAGTAAGTTGTGTTAACTAATAAATGAATACTTTTTTTTTAAATTAGTTGTAAGTACCGAACTGCGCCGATGATGATACAGTAAGTGTACATAAAAATGATTACGTCACGACCACTGAGCGTCTGCACGGAATTCCACATAAAAATGTGTTGGAATGAATGGGGATATATTGTGTCCAGTAAAAAGTCCTGAAAAGAAACAAGAGAACAGTCTTCGTTTTGATTCGGAAGAAAAGGGATCGTACTATTTATTGATGCGCACTATACCACACCCGTACATACCGATCGATCGGGTGTATACTCCTTTCCGTTAAATCGTGTCTCGAAATACTTGTATTTTTCAATTTTTTCTTTGTTCAAGTAATTTAACGTTTTCAGTTTTGCGTCCACATAATTTTGTTTTGTATAGTGGAAATAAAAAATTTAAAAAATGCTAAACTACAAACTCTACTATTTCAACGTAACCGGTCTCGGTGAGCCCATTCGTTATTTACTTCACTACTGCGGAGTTGAGTTTGAAGACTATCGCTTTCAAGATTTCGACGAATGGAAGAACCATTTTCAAGACAGTAAAAAAAAAAAGAAAAAAAAATCCACTACTGACTAATTTTACCATTACGATGAAAGTCCGATTTTGTTTTAATAGTTTTTTTTTCATCCACGTACGTACTTTTTTTTAGAAATGCCCATGAGACAAGTTCCTGTGTTGGAAATCGACGGCTGCGAAAAATTACACCAGCACATATCGATTTGCCGGTATTTCGGAAAAAAATTCAATCTCTGCGGCTCGACTCTTGAGGAGGATCAAAGGATCGATGAAGTGATGTATGACATTAACGATATGCGCTTGTGTAAGTTTTTTTTTTTTTTTAACCACGTACCGTAAACTCACGATTTTTACTTGATCCAAAATATATTTTGCAGCAATTGCTAATTATTACAATGAAACAGTTGTCGAGTTCAAGGCTGCGTTGAAAGAAAGAATGTTGTCAAAGCTTTCGTTTTTCTTAGGAAAACTGGACATGTTGGCCAGTAAAAATGGCCAGTCTTTCGTTCGCGGAGGCGTGAGTTCTCGTCACATTTGTAATTCTAATTGATTCTGACCATATGAAAAATAAATAAATAAATTCAATCGCAGATCACATGGGTGGATATTTATTATGCCGGAATAAGCGAGGTCATGTCAAATATCCTGGAGCGTGACATAAACGAGGATTATGCGAACTTGACAAAATTGGTTGCTCATGTTCGCAACAACAATCGCATCAAAGCTTACCTTGAAAAACGTCCGAAAACTATAATTTAAAAAAAAAAAATTTATTTATCCATGTACACTTGCCGTGTTGTTTTAAAATTATTGTAATCAATCAATAATATTCAAAAATTTTTTTTGTGACATCGATGATTCCAGATTGTGATAAAAAAAAAAAAAAAAAAAAAAAAAAAAAAAAATTGAATACGAATTTTAAAAACTTTTATTTATCAGAAAATAAAATTATTTTTAACATATTAACACATATGATTATTCGAATGAATTATTTCAAGCTTGATCTATTATTTTTGAAGAAATTTCTTCATTTCTGTTGACATGGATACAAACAGTTGCAAAACACTAGGGGATTTTTGAAAAATTTCCCAAATGTGTCCATTCAACTTCTCATGACATCTTAAATCCCAGAGTATATTGTAAATTAAGCTACCATTAAAAAATTCAGCAACATCAATTATAGGAAAAGGATGATCCAGTAAACCATTTAGGTCTATTATGCCTCTTAAACAATTTTGAAATAAAGTAAATGCATGCACTATTTGAATGTCAAATGTTTCCTTATGTATGAACATTTTAGATTCAAAAAATGTATAAGCTTGTGCACAGTCTTGTTCCGTGATTTTGTATATAGCTACTTTGAGTGGCATGTCAACATCGATTTGTTTATCATCAATTCCATCATAGGTGTACCATTTGTTACTCATTATTCTTCTAATGACATAGAAAACTATTAAAAGTAACAAACTGTACAAGTGATAGTTTGTACTAAAAGATTTTTCAGCAAAATCCTTCCAATATTTAATTGAAATTATATATAATCTCCAGGCAGGAGGAAAATTTTCAAGTAAGTGTTCTTTAATTTCAAAAGTGTTAAGAATCATTTGTTTCTTTTCCAAAAGTGAAATGTCTTTTAAGTCATCCAGTAATGGAACTTCAAAATGTAAATCATAATTCGTGTTATCCACTTGATAGGTTTTGATATCTATGTTATTGTTTCCTCTACATGAGTACTTAAAAAAAGTTGCATTTGTCGTTCCATTGCTTAATAATCTAAAAATTAGTTGTAGTACTTTTAAACTTATAAGGCAACAAGGAGGTTCTGATAAGTCTTCTATTTGTGTGGACATTAGTAGGTGTTGACGATGAATAAGATCTAGAAAATAAGGTGGAAAATCACATTTCATAAACCTGTCTATAAACCAAGAAGGAATTACTTCTTCCAATTTGTTTTCAATTTCAGGTTCCACAGTGTCATATTCTTGACAATTGGAAATATTGTTGGTTTTCCAAGTTAAGTTAACATAAACTTGATCATCATCACATTCACTTTCAATGATATCATTATCATTAAAGCTTGGAAATTTATGTTGTTCATTTGGTATGTCTTTTAGTATTATCAAAATTTCTTCTTTTGAATATCCTATAAGACTTAAGATTTGTGTCACGATTTTTGGGGAGTATGTTAAATACTCATTAATTACAATTTCAATATTTTTTAATATGTAAAATCGTTCATTTGAATCTAACTTCGATATTATTGCTGAAACAGCATCATCCAAGGTATATTTTTGAATCCATTTTAAAAGAGCCACGATTCTCAGGTGAAGTAGGTTTCTCTCATATTTTTTGGCAATTGCTTTCGACACTTTTATGGAACAAAAAAATTTCTTAAAAACACTGAAATGTATGTAATCATTCCCGAGTATAGTTGCAGCAAGTGGTAGCAAGATGTCTTTGTTTGTGGTAGAAAAATCTTGAAAGAATTTTTGTCTATTAAAAATTTTACAGTCAAGAAACGGTTTTTCATCATGACATTCTAAAGAAAAACTTAATGTTTCAAAAGGTATGTATATAACGTCAAAGACAAAGAAGTCAGAGTCATTACTTAGGACAGGACGGTTTAAAATTCTTGCCACTGCAGCTATATGATTATCAGCTTCGAATACAGTTTGAATGAGTTTTACTTTGTATTGTCGAACAATTTGTAAGAATACATTCTTTGCGAGACATGGAAACAGTTCTTTTTCTATTAGATCAGATCTCCGCAAATCCAACAGATTTTGTAACTTACGATTTATCAATGTATTCATTTTTCTATCTTCCATGCAACCATCTAATATCACTACAGGAGTAATATTGCACGCTAACAAACACTCAAAGAAACATGAAATATTATATGCATATTTTGCATATTCACCTCCAAAGCAAGAAGCACATCCGACCGAAAAGTATAATTGCGTCATGACGCAATTTCCATCGATGATCAACATCGTGTCACGCAGTTTGAAAGATTTCAAAAATTCTGGATTTTGGTAGATGTACGATGTCAATCCTCTGATACCCATATTTGAAAATACTAAATAAACTTTAACCACATCCGATATAAGTATAGAGTCACTATCAACCGATCAACCGTGTATATATTAGCACTTGTGTAAGTATGACTAAGAGCGACACTTAACGATTGTTCCCAGTTGCTGCGTAGGTATACCTATTACGCATTCATGTTTTGAAAAATATTTTACATCGGGAGCGTAAGTCAAGACAAAGGGTATGAGTAATATGTAAGTATATATTTTCTAAAGCACTTGTGTCGAGAAGGAGAAAAAGGTTTTATAAATTACTCGTGCTGTGAAAACTTTTTGCCACCGGCCGGTCGTTCTATATGTACTGATAGAAGAATGCGATGAACTCTGCAACGATAAACAGAACAAGGAATGACGATATAACTAAGTATTCGATTTAAAAGTAATAGAAAGAAAAGAAACATAGTTTTGCACTTTTACCTTTTTACGTAAAGCTGGGCTGGCACACTCAAGCAATAAAATATATTTATGGTAAGTACTATAGACTTTAGGCTTTAGGCCAGATTTTCGTTATTTTTCGGGGGTTCGCCGCCGCAGTGCGCAGTGCGCAATCACCAGATCAGGCATCACCACCCTTTCTCAGTGATTGCGCACTGCGCATGCGGCGAACTCCCGAAAATCTGGGAGCGGGGGAGCCTTGTATAGTCGACTCTCTTTCAAGCGGTGTGTTTTTCTTCCTTCATTGGGCAGACGAGGTGAGCACCAGATATTGTTAAAATCGCTAAACATCCGCTAGCTATTGTATTTATTGTCAAAAGCACTCTCATTAATAATCAAGATGAATTTCTCGCCGATCCGATGTGTCTTGTATTTTTCGTCTCAGAAAGGTTGATTCACTAAAATTCGTCATTTGTAAATATTGTAACTTAACCTCTAGTTGTTCGTCATCGCGATTTCACGAGGTCTGGTTATCGTTGCTGTTTTCTAATTTTTTTTTTTCCTAACATATTCACCTATTTTTTACAATATTTGTCATTTTGTTCATTTACATCTTTTAGTGATTGTTGTTGTTTATTCAGTCATTCGACGACCATGTATTAATTTACCAAAAACGAGCAAATGTTCTACTTGATCCCTCAAACTCATTAAATATAGTCAAGTTTACTGCAGGTAATAATATATTTATCTTTTTTTTTAGAGGATGGGTGCGTACAAGTATATGCAAGAGCTTTATCGCAAGAAGCAGAGCGATGTGCTCCGCTTCTTGCTTCGTGTCAGATGCTGGCAGTACCGTCAGCTCACCAAGCTCCACAAAGCGCCCAGGCCTTCTCGTCCTGACAAAGCACGCCGCTTAGGATACAAAGCCAAACAAGGTAAATTTCACACCAATCTCAGCTAAATAGTATTGTACAGATCCTTCCAGAAGATTTTGTCCATGTACCATTTTTGCAATGCAAGATAGAGGTGATAATATAAATTTTGAGATACTTCAGTGCTTTTTGAAGTTGTCACGTGAATTCTTAACTCTTAATTTTTGAAACTTTTTTTATGCCAGTAACGTTTTCCTTGCTTAATTGGTTAGTATTAACGGAACCTTCTTAATTATTGTAAACTTGTTAGCATTTCAATATGATGATCATACATGCACCACTCTTACCACACATGTGGAGATTATGTACCTCTGATTGAATTCATATCAATACTATAATATAAGATCTTTTAGTTTGAAAAAAGTATTAAATTTTTACGTTTTTCCCCAGGCTTTGTTATTTACAGAATTCGCGTACGTCGTGGTGGTCGCAAACGTCCAGTTCCTAAGGGAGCCACTTTTGGAAAGCCCAAGTCACATGGAGTCAACCAGCTGAAGCCTACAAGAAAACTTCAGTCAGTTGCGGAGGTACGATGTTTTTACTTGTAAACTTGAAACAATTCTTGAAACTTTCAATTGCAAACTTTATATGATGATAACATACATACTCAATGATTAAGATGATTTTGTATATCTTCCTTGGATGTCTGAAGTTATTTTATTCAATCAACATCATTGATAACAATTTATCTCGCATATATTAATACATGATTATTTTTAGGAGCGCGTTGGACGTCGTTGCGGTGGACTCCGTGTCCTCAACTCATACTGGGTTGCCCAAGACTCGTCATATAAATATTACGAGGTCATTCTCGTAGATCCAGCTCACAAGGTAAATACATTTTCGTTTCTTATACACTGTAAAATGTGTGTTCTTGAAATCTTATCTTAAATTTTGTACTTTTTAGGCTATCCGAAGAGATGCTAAAATTAATTGGATCTGCCAATCAGTTCAAAAGCACCGTGAGATGCGTGGAAAGACATCAGCAGGCAAGAGCTCACGTGGCCTTGGAAAAGGACATCGGTTTTCACAAACTATTGGAGGATCCCGCAAAGCAGCATGGCTGCGCAGGAACTCTTTATCGCTTCGCAGAAAACGATAAAACATCTCGTAGTCTGTGGAGTCTATTGTATCATTTTTCAAATAAACTCATTTTACTTCAAATATATGTAATTTTATTTTTTATTAAATTATTTACAAAAAACCATTTTTCGGGCGTTATTCATTCAATGTGTTTCTTGAATATTATCTTGCGATTGATTTTCCCTCGCATTGCAAGTATAACATTGGTTAATTGGTTCTATAGGGTACTACATATTTTAATTGATTTTCTTATGTGATGACTTTTAAGAGAGTAATTCTGAATCAAAGGAAGATGTGATTTTAATCAAGAGGAGTCCTTGTATGAACATTTTCATGAAGTATTTATCTTATGGGTGTCTTACAATGAAACTTGAAAAGGTTCCCAAATCCCGATTTATACAACCAGAGAATATAGAAACATGTCCCTTCATGTATAGAAAGTCGGGCTATAGGCCTAAACTTGTTTTCACTTATAACCTTAGTACTGTATCCATGAAGGAGATGGCTTTCTCAAGCCCATCCTGACCTTCTATATATGAAGGGACGTGTTTCTATATTCTCTGGTACAACATTCGCTCAATGATGGTCAGACTTTGTGTTTAAGTGGACGTGTTTTGCAGTTGTGCAGAAAAAATAAAAGGTAATTCCATAGTCCATAAACTTTTCTCACTTTTTTTTTAAATTTATGACTACCGCATTGGTGTACCTTCATCCTTAAACTCGTTGTCAGCTTTTGGTTAAAAGTTAAATACAGTACAACTTTAAATTAAAGGATAGGTTGTTAAATAATTGATCACGCGTCCTCTAATTTTTTAGTCTTTCATTCCAAATTTGAATATTTTAATGTACCTACGCATTTACGCAGCATAATCAGATTTATAGTGGGTCTAGGACGTCTAGGTGTATTCAGCTTTGTCTGAACAATTCTCTAGGCCACATACCTAGATTTACCCTTATACTTAAACGATAAATGATTTTTCTTTTCTCTCCGCGGTTTGTTATAAATGATATATATTGTGCGTTTCATATGCTCAAATATACATATAAAATAATCGCGCTTGTGTGTATTTCAATCAGCGCCATCTAGCGTGTGATTTTTCTCGTCGCTCATAGACCCTACTGACGTTTTTTTTTTGGCCGGCGAAGAAAAGCACAACTCAGATTTTGCCGTTCAAAATGACATGGAGAAATCTGAGTTGTGCTTTTTTATCCACCAACAAACTGGCTATATTCGACGGGCCGGATACCATACGGACGTTTTTTTTGCTTCGGGTGTGATATCCGGTGATCGGGCTTCGTCGGTGGGGGCGGCCTTTGCTCTTGAAGATATATCACACCCAAAGCCAATAAACGTGTCCGTAGGGTATCCGGGCCGTCGAATATAGCCAGTTTTACGGGGACAAAAAAAGCACAACTCAGATTTCTCTATGTCATTTTCAACGGCAAAATCTGAGTTGTGCTTTTCTTCGCCGGCCAAAAAAAAAACGTCAGTAGGGTCTATGAGCGACGAGAAAAATCACACGCTAGATGGCGCTGATTGAAACACACACAAGAGCGAGGGCCGCCGAAGAAGCCCGATCACGCCCGAAGCAAAAAAAACGTCAGTATAGGGTCTATGAGCGACGAGAAAAATCACACGCTAGATGGCGCTAAATAGCAAGACTATATAGGTATATATACGTGTAGGGATCTAGCTGGCACACCTTTAAGCAATAAGCGCATCAGCGCATGTATGTGGACATAGTGGACTTGTGTAGTGATTTCGTGTTGTCATCGTAAGAATCCATGTTTGAATAAAAGGTTATACGGTGAATTAAAAAAACTTTTGCACTTGACAGTATATTGTTAATAAAATAGGATATGACAACAAAACAGTACAAAAAACTAGCGCTTCATAATTCTGTTTGCAACGATATATATTTTGGATTTCAAGATTGCCTGGAAGAGGTATTGTTTTACAATGAAATAAAAATACCTAATTATACTTTGGATTGATTCAAGTGCATAACTCCTACGAAATGACTAAAATTCTGATTTACTTCTCTTATTTATGACAGAACCCCTGGGCTAAATGGATAGGCAAGTGTACTAATTTCGGTAAAGAACTCGAAAATTGTGTAAAACAAAATGTAATTTCTATTTGTTTAGTTAAAACTTTTTTTTACCGACTAAGCGAAACTCCTGATCCATTACATAACTCAAACGTTTTTTTTTTTCAGCGAGAAAAAATGAGAGAAAGAAATCAACAACTTGCTAATGAAAAACTGGCTAAAATGAAACAGGGAAAATTTACTTAACAACTTTGCTAATTGTATATAGTATTTAGTATGTAATATACAATTTTTCCAAACTAACAATTCTAATTGGTTATCATTAATTGGTTCAAAGTTAAAAAAATTTTTTTTTTTAACTAGTGTAAAAAATTAATTTCTTAACAATGGATGCTGAAGTGCTACCTGATGAAGCAGTTGATAATGCTGATTCAAAAGTGAAAGTGGAAAATGTCAAAGAAGTCAGTAAAAACGAGCCTGTCATCAAAAAACCCAAGTTTGATGAAAACAAAGAAGAAGGAGATTTTGCAGAGAACATAGGGCGCAAAGAATTTGAAACAGATGAGCAAGTGAGTAAAGAGTGTAAAATCTTGGAGGAAGATGATACTGATGAAGAAATAGAATTCAATAAAGATGGACTTTTATATTTCATTGAAAGATTAACAACAACTGAAACCACTCATGAACAAAAATTAGAGGAATTCAAAGAATATCTAGAAGCAGATCTTGAAGTTGAACGGCAAAAATATCGTCAAGAAAAATTAGAAAGAGCTCAAGAGAAGTACAAGAATGCTCAAAAAGAAGAAGAAAAAAAGTCGGATAATAAAGCATCAAGTAGCAAAAAGGCTGATTCAGATAATGAAGATGACAGTATGGAGCATGAAGTTCCCGAGCCAGGCTTCATCTATCCATTAGAACAGGATGCCTCAGATATGTTGTATGAAGTAGATTTTAATGAGGATGGGACTTATCCTACAGTTACTGAACGTTACCTCACTCCTTATTACGCTATTGATGTTAAAGAGCCTTGTGACGACATTTGTATTTATATACACAGCAATCGCGTTTGCATGATTACTTTAGCACCAAGTCATATCATTTTTCAAAAAAATTTAACAATCGAAAGTTGCAGTTATCAAGTTACTGAAAAATTGGATAGGACGAAAAATAAAGTATCCGGCAAAGGTAAACGTGGAGCCCAGCCTATGCAAAAAAATTCATATCTTTGCCGTTTGACTTGCAGTGATGGATCGGTATACATGATTAGGTGCTGTATGAATGGGAAACTCTTAGAAGTTAATGAAAAGCTTCTAGAAAATCCAGAATTATTAAAACAGCCACCTCACTCTGGTGGTTACATAGCTGTTGTGTTGCCAAATCTGAAATATCACGATGAGCAGTTGAAAAAACACTTGCTTGATCAAAAGCAATATGAGGAAGCACTGAGTCGGAGAATCATGGAAAAAAAATCAGATGCATCTCAAGACAATGAAAAAAAAGAAGAAAGTGGTGCTACAGAGGAATTTTTAAATTTAAAATCAAATAAGAATGATGACAATACCCAAATTGAAGGTACAAACATGGAAAAACAAGAAAAACAAAAATTAGATGACATAAAAATGGATCAAGTATGTGAAATGGAGTGAGACTTGCGTACTTGATCTAAAATTTATTTCCAGAAACATGTTAACATGAAAAGGTTCTTGTAGGATTAAGTGAATTTATGTAAAAAGATAAATAACTTTAGTAATGCAATTTTTTCATTTTTAAAAAATGTTCAACATTTTCATAATAAATCGTTTTAATTACATAGAATTTATTTTATTTTACACTTTGCACCGCAAAGAAATTTGCTTTGGTTTATTTATTCGACTTCATCTTAAAAATATATATTTACAATGGCTTCTGTGCATTATCGCATTCTGACCACAATCCTGACAAACCAAAGACAAAATTTTATACACTTATCTTTTAAAATTTTAGTTAAGGTATGTACATACAGAAAATAAAAAGAGACTATCATAGAGGAACAGTTACTTTAGGCAAAACATTATTTGTTTCAATAGCTTTAAGTTTGTCTCCTTCTAATAATTTGTTGGTTTTCGATTCTTTGACTAAGGTTCCCAAGATTATACCAGCAAATAGTATCATCCCTACTGTGTGATTAGAAATGAAATTTTTGGCACAATTTTTGGGATCATTGATATCCAGTGAATCAAGCTGTAAGAATATTAATATTAAGAACGACAATTTAATAAGCTTAATTTAACATTAAAAAAATAATACATTATAAATTACCTGGTAAAGTAAATGAGTACCAACAAGTCCCACAGATAAATAATATGGTAAAGTTTGACCAGCACAAAAGCCTGACACAAGCAAGCTCGCAATCATGCTAGAGCTGAAGCCTGTAAGGTAAAGCTTTGTCTTATCCCCGAATTTTAGTGCAGTAGACTTTATACCCAGTAAAATATCATCAGCTTTGTCCTGTTAAGAGAATTTTTGTGATTAACAGAATAAAAAAAAAAAAAACAGTAAATAAAACTTTATTGATCCTCTCTCACTTGATGTGCATAAATTGTGTCATACAAAATGGTCCAGCAAATACCAGCTGCATAAAGAGGCAAGCAAACGGACCAATCACAAGAACCCTGAATTGCAGACCAACCTAACAGAGCTCCCCAGTTAAAAGTCATTCCCAAAATAAATTGAGGCCAGTAAGTTATTCTTTTCATTAACGGATAAACAATAACTAAGCCTGCAAAATTACATGTAACATTTTTAGAGATTGTCTTTTTCCCACTTACTTTAAAAAATAGTCATTCCTACCTAAGGAACTAGCACCAAGAAATATGCTATACCAGTTGAGCTGTAAGAGAACTAAAAGTCCTAGACTCAACTGACCACCAAGAAAAGCTAATGCTTGCTTCTCTGTAATTTCTCCTGTTACTAAAGGCCTATCCCTTGTTCTTGATACCTTTGCATAATTATATTATCATTAAAACCATAATAAATTTACACAAAAAGCTTAAAGTTAAAATTTTTATTAATCCTAAGATAGAATAAAATAATATTTACACACTTTTCCATCAATGTCCTTATCCCACATGTCATTAATTGTGCAGCCAGCTCCTCTCATTATGAAAGCTCCAATCCCAAAAAGTGCCAGCATACCGAGATCTGGAAGTGCTCCAGCAGGAGCAGCCATGGCTATGCTCCAGCCACATGGCCAAAACAACAACCAAGACCCTTATACAACAGAAAATAACATCGCAAAATATTGTCCGTGATAAAAATAAAAATATAAATTTATCAGAAATACTGACCAATGGGCCTATCTATTCTCATAAGTCTCATGTATGGCTTGACCTTGGAAGGAGAATTTTCAACGATTTTTGCTGCTATACTAGAATTTTTATTAACTTGATAAAACACACCTGTTTTTCTGTGAAAATCTACCAGTAATACTTCTTTTTGTCGATGCTTTGATTTCCATTGCTCATTTTTATGATCCTGGCGGCTTATGATATTACAAACAGAAGATGTATGTATCTTATTGTAAGTGTAGGCATCATCTTTTCCACAACTTCTTAAACTGTGATTGAGTGACTTTGTTATTCGTGCAATACACTTTATTTGCCAACATCCTCTCATGGGAATCATATTTTACCTGCAAATAACGCACAAATCAATCCATTAAATTATTAGTGTCGGAATTAAAATGCAACGCTCGATAAAATTTAAAAAATTCTTGTTTTTCTAATATAAATGCATCTAAAACACAAGGTTAGAACGGATATAACGTAATTACCTTAGCGCAGCGACAATCATATCACAAATCACAAGTAATATTTTTGAAGAATAATATCAAATCTCATTTATCAGACGTTCACAGAAACATATGTGACTCGACAACGTTGATTTTTTAGCATCAGGATATTATCATTTTATTGATTGCTATCTCGAAATTCGCAATGTTTTACCTCTTATTACATAAACCGATAAAGCTTACAGAAACGTTTGAATCGATCCAAAATCCCAACTCCTTCGTTGTCATAATACTTGTAATTTATTTCTTGAAGAGGCAAGAAAATTCTCAAATATGGCATCTACGAGTTAACTAGTTGCAGTAAAATTATTTTTGCTGATTGATACAAAACATTTAACAAAATAAACGACATCCAACATCTATATTTTATTTTTTTTTTGCTCCAAAGCTCGGCGCCCCACTGCGCCATGGCCCATATGTGCACAGCCCACAGCGCCGTCAGCGCCAGCAGACAACATGCGCAAAGATGATGCGCTTCGCGCTCGGTGGACGGTGGGAGAGCAGAAACTTAAAATTGTTGGTTTGTTGGTGAAAAAGAAGATTGCAATCATTAGAAATTTAAACACAGATAATTAAGTGTTAAAAAAATATATTTAATATATATTCTCGATTTTTTTTCTTCGTTACAAAGTTGATAGAATTTTAAATTTTATATTACAAAAATTGCTACTTGTTCTATAAATTATCCAAATTGTGTTCAACATTCACGCTCAAGTATATCAATGATTGAGAGAAACAATCGTAACAATAGTTTGAATGATTTTTCTCCCGTTAGGATGATTAACGAGATTCAGTAGAGGATCTTCCATCTTCTGTTTCAGTAATTTGACTAATTCCACTCTCACGTGCTGCAGAAGTTGAGCAGTCTGTAAATAATCCATAATCAAGAGTAAACGTTAAATCAATGCAATTTATGAAATTAATTAAAGACAATGGATGTACCCTGAGCGATTCAGTTGCAAACATAATCCAGCCGTCTCCGAGCGAAATGATGAAAGTCCCGTTGTGAAGTTCAATGTCGATACCGTAACCAGAGAACAGTACCAGCGCAAGCATGGGTACCATCGTCACCTCCTTGATGAATATTCTGCTTGTTTTCAATTTCTCTTGGTAAACCAAATAAGGACTAGAGTAATACCCTACAGTAAAATTAATGGAGGATGGGTGAATATTGACGAATCCACCATCTTTTGTCTGAAATCTCAATTCTTCAGGTTTAGGTTGACGTGGTATTGCTCCAGTTGACTGTATCTGGAACGTCTTTTCGGGTGTGAGTACTTTTACTAGATTAGGATATAAGGCAGCGCAAAGCAAGCCTTGCAGTAGATTGTAATTGTCATTGTTGACGTTTAGTTCAGAACCTGTCATCCCTAGTACTCTGTCCTGGCCTATGGGTCGTTTTTTCACATTAATAGGAACAAAACCAATGGAAACTAGTAGTTCCAAGAGTTGGTGTTTAACGTCTGCAATGGTTTGCAGGGCTCGTACAGATAGAAAATTCTCGTTGGCAAACGCTAGTCCTGCTTGATAGCCACGTTCACTAACCTCGAGCCATCTCTACAATGGTAAAAATGAACTTAAGGCCTTATAATTAAATATCTTTGAAAATATAATACGTACTCTGTATGCCCTCAAAGTTGTCAACTGATCGGAATGGGCAACCATAAATTGCTTCTTTTTTGCATAGACTTCCTGCTTCTTATCAAAAGGCGTAAGGAAGGGACTCTTGTGAGACAAACAGGCTGCAATGGTGAGAGCTGAATCCAAGCAACAGAAAATGGCACCGAAAAGTATTAGCTTGCCTATTTGAACGTCGATCGGTAGAGCGGCCAAGTGATGACCTAGCGGAGTTAGCATGATTTCAGGATCCAACGCGCCAACATCTTGTAGCCGTTTGATGGCTGTTGCTATGCTTTCTGTAGTTGGTGGCTCAATCATTCTCCCTAGCAGAAAAAGAAAAACAATTGTAGACAGCTCGGTGGATTTCAGTGAACAAATTAAAAACTAAATTGTTACCCAAGACTTCAAAAAGATCGATGTTTTCATTGTGGTGTAAAATTTTTATCCTTAGTAGAATTGAATCCAGAGATACTCTGAGGATCTCAGGAATGGGCTCCAGTAAAAAACTGTACTTATACCTAAAAAAATACAATGAATTGAAACGTTGAAGTTGTATGTTGAATGTGAGACACCAAGGTGCTCTCTTTTTTATAAAGGTTTGACACACATACCGACGTATGTTAAGAGTAATTACCTAAATGAGGTGTAAAGGTGAATACAGACACCGGGCATAACACGACCAGCACGACCCATCCGTTGTCTTGCGTTGGCCCTCGACACCCAACACGTTTCCAAGCTTTCCATATTTTTATCAGTATTAAAACGCGTTTCTTTCATTTTTCCAGTGTCGATGACGAAAACACAATCGTCTATCGTGACCGACGTTTCTGCTATGTTTGTGCTGAGTACGATTTTTCTGACGCCTACGGGGGGTTTTTTGAACACTAAACTTTGTTCCTCGCTCGAGAGAGTTGAGTGGAGCGGTATTATGATGAATTTAAGCGATTTTGGAGAGAGCAGCTTGTTGTCATTCAGAATTTCTTTTAGTGTCATTATTTCAGCAATACCGGGTAGAAACACCTAATTTAAAAACTCATTAGCAAAAAGCTATAGGACAATAGTTTCAAATGTATGAATTAGCAGAACCGTTTTACCAAAATAGATCCAGTTCTTGCATAATCGTGATCGCCATCCACAATCCACTCTAATACTTTCTCGATCAAATCGTAATTGATTTTTTCATGGTCTATGACGTATAGATACTTTTGAGACAGCTTTGAGTATGTTGAGTACCGAGCAATTATTTGTGGCAGGGTCAAATTTTCATCCATAATTGTATTTGTTGGAGGCACTTGTGCTAAGCTTGCGACGTCAGCCAAGTCAAGGTTGAGGTTTAAATTATCCCAGCCCCCTTTAAATTTTCTCGTATATTTTGAGTTCTCTTCGACAACAAACTTTGATTTTTCTAATATGTCCTCCAAAAATAATTGCTGTACCGGGAAAGTCCTCCCTGGAATATCTAATAATGGTATTTTTCCAAAATAGGCGGAAAACACGTCCGATTTTAATGTCGCACTCATGAGAATTACTTTTAAATTTCGCCTCTTACGAATCAATTTTTTTATCAGCATAAGCAGAAAATCACTGTAAAAATTCATTCACTTTTAGAAAAATTTATGTGCTGGCATTTAATCAACATCATATTAACGTACCTTTCTGCACTTCTTTCATGCACTTCGTCAACAATAATATGCGTGACAGACTTTAACTCTGAATCACTAGACATCCTTTGCAACAAAATACCAGTTGTACAAAAGGTGAGCCTTGTTTTACTGGAAACTTTATTCTCTAATCTTATTTGATACCCAACGGTCTCTCCGATTTTTTCGATTCTTTCTGCAGCTACGCGTTTGGCAACTCCAACTGCACTTATCCGTCGTGGCTGAGTACATACTACGTTGACATGTTTTCTATCTTCTTCAGTCATATTAACGATCCAATCATCTAATATAAATTGCGGAACCTAAAAACCATCATCATTATTATCATCATTATCACCACTACAATAAAAACGAGCTCAATTTTAATACCTGCGTACTTTTACCACAACCAGTTTCGCCAGATACAATTGTGATCTGATTTTGATGAATAGTCTTTAATAATTCATCCATTTTTGACCAGGCAGGCAATTTTTTTCTATCTTCTTTCATTTTCAAGTATTGAGAGCTGTGCTGCTTGTCCATGAAGTTTTTTTTTATCTCCTGATTTTGTATAACGACATCCTCTGCCGTGTATCCATTACGATTATTTTTGATTGTATTGCCTTTCGTGTAATGCAAGGGACCAATATCTTCTGAAACAATGGACTTTGAAAATAAGGGTTCATCCTGATCTAAAAACTGTTCTTTATTTTCTTTCAAGTAAGCCTCGATTTCACTTCCAGTTTCCAAAAGAGAAATGATGGAAAATATTATTGGTGTGCCGTCATTGTAAAGATCTAATGCCTCATTGTACAATCTCCTCCCAATTCTGAGACAGTTTATTGGTGAATATATACCATCATTTTTGTAGAAGAAAAAATAAGGAGGTTCATACGGATATTTGCAACCTGACATGGAATTTCATTTTAGTAAATTTTTTTTTTTTTTCATAACTGTATTTCATGGTTATGAAAATAACTCAATTACCTTCTGGAAATCTTACTTCTAAAGTAAAATAGGGGTCCCTCTTTGGTTTTGGAAGTTCTTCTAGCTTTGGCTTCTGATGACGAAATTTACACTTTATCCCATACCTACAATTGCCTGCCAAATACAGCCTACATATATCATTTAATTGCAACTTTGGTTTTGTCTTTACTACTTTTTCATCATCAGTCTCAACGAGATAATTTAACTTTACTTGAAATTCCCATACTTGATTTTTAATTTTTTCCGTAAATACGTCACTGTAAATAGATTCTAAAGCTTCTTTTTCATCATTTCTTTTTTCGCGTAAATCATTATCATCAACTCCTTCAATAAAATCTTTTTTCGGAAGATTCTCAATGCCATAATATTTACAAAAAAGTACTTCTAGAGCTTTACCCAAGTGACCTTGTGTATGTGATAATGCTTCAGCACAATGAGATGGATGGAAACTGTCAATCAGAGTTGGTATTTGCATTTCATGTTTTACTGGAAGGCTAATAAATTTAATGTAACGTTTTCTTAATGACAATTGACATACTTATAACTTTCTAATTTTGAGGTGGCAAATGTCTCTATGATTTGTTCCTGAGACTTGACAGTGTTGTCTCTTGATGAATAGTCAGTGAATCCTTTGATTACTAAATTACCTCTCTGCAGCCAATACTGTTTGCCTAAATTCGAATTTTTATTTTCAAATTCAGAAATATCTGCTAGTTTGTAATTCTAAAAAATAAATAGATAGTGAAAGATATTGATGAAAAAAAAAAAACAAAAAAAACAAACAAGCAAAAAATATGCATTTGTTAACGTTAATGATTACGTACTGGTCCGAAAACACTTCTTAAAACTTCGTAAAGCATTTTCTCTGATTCTGGGGACATCCTTAGGGTTTGCATCTCAACCTTTAGTCCTTTGTACTGTTTTTCAGGTTTCAGTTTTGAACTCGATGCATTTGTATTTTTTGGATTTGACTTTCTTCTATAACATTTATAAAACAATGAGTTTAGATTGTTAAACCTGCTTTAAATCGTAGTATTAAAAATGTGCACTAGAGAAACTTCCCCAGATGTGCAATGACAAATTTTAAGCACATCAATGAAATATTTGGATTTTAAAATAAAAATAAAGACACTTGTTTCAACGAGTATATTCAATTGTTAAAATGACTGTAGACTCATCATGTGTACAATTTTACTCTAATATAAGGTACTCAAGACTTGTAAAAATAAAAAAAATTTTCTGTCAATGAGTTAACCTATAAAATGAACAACTATAATATTAGATTGGATTGAAAAATTAAGAAACAAACTTACAAATTTGACACTGCGTTTGTTTTAGGCTCGAGAACTACATCTTCCATCAATTGAGCACTGTAATGATCCATGTTTCATCCAAAATTGAATTTGTGAAATACAAGTATATGTATGAAGTAGAATATGATTATTGATGGTTATTTTGGTCACGTGAGGCCTGAAAAAAAAAAGATCGAGTATAGCAGACTAGAGCAGACGACAGATGGACACACACACATATATATACACACGCACACAAGAGGGTATAAATTTGCTCCCTCGTTGGTCGTTGCTTGTTGATCCGAAAATCTCAACGAAAAAGTGCATTCCTTACATTTACGATAACATTTAAAGTACATAAATATATACATGAAAGAAATATTAATATGCGTAGAGCACGGCAGTGAATCAGTCGACATTCGACATTCAAGTCAAAAATCGGAAGTCACGTTTGGGTTTAGACGTATAGTTGTACTTTGCTCTCAAGAGATCTCTCACACATCAGAGATGTAAAATCAATAAGCCGAAGCCGGAACAGTGTTATTAAGAGTAATCCTCAGAAAAATACTTATTTACATGTGCATACACTATTATACCCAGCAGTGTTGATAAGTGAATGTGCATTTGTGTTTTCAATACGTCTTATGAACATACTATGTATGTACAAAACAAGTAAACAAGTACAAAACAAGTGTATATTGTATAGTGCAGTGTATAGATATATTATATATCACGTGTGTCGCTCACGTCTCGTCGCACACACGTTGCAGTATAATTAGGCAGTTTATGCTGAGCTGGGCTTCGCGGACGCTCGTAGCCGCGATGTCCACGATGACGAGGAAGCCCGAAGTGTTGTTCGTGCTCGGTGGCCCTGGAGCCGGCAAGGGTACCGTTTGCGGCAAAATCGTCAAGAAATACGGCTACGTGCATCTCTCGGCTGGTGATCTGCTGCGCGAGGAACGCGCCAAGCCCGGCTCCAAATTCGGGGAGCTCATCGAGAGTCACATAAGAAACGGCACGATTGTGCCCGTCAAAATCACCTGTAGCCTGCTGGATCGGGCTATGCAGAACTCGGAGGTATCCCACAACAAGTACCTCATCGACGGCTTTCCTAGGAATCAGGACAATTTAAAGGGATGGACTCAGGTGAGCTGGTGTTGCGTTGACTCCTAATTAGCGTGAGATTATACGGATCCATATGTTAAAAAAACTTGGAATTAATTTGGCGTAAGCATTCAGGTGCGTTTTTTTTGGATTATTTGCCGATTAACCGTGCCACGTATGGCTATTTAATAATAGTTTTTAATTTTTTGTGCTTGTAATATTATTTGTTATTGAAAAACCGTGTTTTCAAATACCTCGTATGAATTCTCCTGTTTGTCAAGTTGTTTGCCGAGTATAGCAAGTACATGGATATGTACTATTAGTAAATAAGATATCCTTATCTTTAAGCAAAGTTGTCACGAGTAAAGAATAACTTTCCTTAGTTTTTGCGTTTTAATTAACACTTGTCCATCAGGCAAAAAAAAAGGTGTTTCATTTAGTCAATGAGTTATTAAATGTATTACGTAAAATGATATTTAATTTTTTTCATTATAGGATATGGCAGAGAAAGTTGACTTGAAAGGAGTACTTTTCTTTGATGTAAGTGAAGAAGTATGTACGAAGCGTTGCCTTGGAAGAGGTGCCACCAGTGGACGGAGTGATGACAATTTGGAATCATTGAAGAAGAGGCATCATACCTATATCAATGATACAATGCCTATTGTTGATCATTACAAAAAGTTAGGACTTGTATATACCTTTAATGGTGAAAAATCACCAGGAGCAGTATTTAAAGCTGTAGAGCAAGTTTTGACGAAAATAGGCTGGTAATTTATGACACCAATTGTATTCTGTTTGTATAAATTTTAAAGAAAGTACACAAGTAATGCAGCAGTAATTATTGTTTTTAGATTTTTAGTCAAGTATAATGTGGCTTTTTTACGTTTTTTTTTTTTTTTTATTTTGTTAGCAAAGAGAGAACTCTGCTAGTTTTTGACATTCCTTATTATTGTGTGAAAATCCGTTGCAAATGTTGGATCAAGTTCTGATAATGTATTTTAAAAACTGGTATATATAAGTGCTTATTTTTTTAGTTGATTTCAACACTTTATTGTACGAATGATATTTCTATAAAGTCAATAATTTGTCTTTATAATTGTTGCAAAAAAAGTCGATTTGAGCTTTTGTAATCAAACAAATGTAATAAAACGAGCAAACAGTAATCAGAAGCGTATTTTATTCAGAAAACAGTTCAAGGTCAATTAGAGTACCAAGAAATACTTAGTACAAACAGTATAGTATATGCAACTCTTCAGTCACAGCATGTAAATAGTACAGATTGAAAAATCTTTACTTGTACGAATAACTGTATTATTTNGATCACTATTTTTTTATAGATAGATGTCACAAAAGTTTTAGTAAATTTTTGAAAAATGGCGAAATAAGTGTTCCGTACATGTAATTGTATTATATGTTTGTAAACTATAATAAATAAATTGATAAAATTGATCTTTTTGTAAATTTTAAGTGCATAACGATGATGTTACTTGAATATTATTCTTAATATTACTGATACTCAAATTTTTAAATGCTGCATAATTTTCAAGGACCGCGTTGATACTAAATAACACAAACATAATTCCGTAGTGGATAGTATAGCTGTCAGTATAGAATATTTGAAGAACAAATATTTCATTGTAATAATAAATGTGAGTAAAGAATTAAATAAATCTGAAAGACAATGCTTCAGTAAAGTTTTAACTGACACAAGCAAGAAAATTCATAAAAGTACTCATGATATTGATTAAGAAAATTTTTTGCCTCAGAAGTTTTTACCGACTGTCGATAAAACATCACAATGATAAAGTAGATCTCTACAAACCATTCACACTTTTGTAAATTACCGCGAATATCGCGGTCGTCATTCAAATATAATTTTGCAGTCATTGCGAATCATTTGCGATCCCTATATATATAAGCAATAGCCATCCGAGAAAATACAGAGGACAATGAATAATTATAAAAATGCAGTTGCTTACATGAAAAAAAAAAAAATGTTTCGAAAATCCATTACCCTTCAACTTGTTTTTTGTCATTTATTTATAGTTTGGTTTCGCCAAACTAGTGTAGACCATCATTTTTGTCCTCATGCGAATGCCTTGTGCGATTTTGACAAGCTTTTCTGACCACTCGTGGATTACGTAACCACCCGGTGACTCTTACTTTCTTGTTCTACATAACTCCCTTGCGTTTAAAATACACTACGTATGTTTTGCTATTTTTGTGGAAAAAAAAAAACTCTTTCAAAAATACATGTGGGTCACAACAATAAAAAACACACCGGACGCATGACGAATCCCTTTGGTTTTAAATTCGTAAGAGTCGATGTGTGTTACAGGAAACTAATTACTTATTCATCTCATTGTATAATTATGCCGTAGGCACGTCTACTTTGAACTTGTATATAATGACACCGAAAAAAAAAAGAAAAAAAAAAAAAAAAAAAAAAACTTG